TTGGAACTGAAAGAATGTTTGGATGAGTTCCCATCTAAATCAAAAGGAACAAAGAAATATTTACCGGATTGTTCTTTAAACCACAGTAGTGAAAACTGCGCAAACTGGGCAGTCCTACACACGCTGAATCATGCAGTGCAGAGGAAGAATATAGAGGTGTGTATGAATGTTCTCTGTACCAACGACCTTTATTTAAAGTGAACGATATATTAGATATAGTTTATCAAGTCTGAGCATTGCTAAGTAATGTGTCATTGTAACTCTTCCAGATATTAAATACCTCTCATAGGGATCACAGTACTCCCCCTGGTATGTGCTTTACACTCCTTCAGCAGCCCAGATGGAGTGGAAGTTATCAGCCCTGAGCTCAGGAAGGAGACAGATCAGCCTCCATAGAGGACCTCACAGCCTCGCACTGGGCTGACATGTCTGCTCTGACTAATATCTCAGCACTTCTGATATAAGAAATACCTGATTGATTATCTTCAATCTAATATTTCCATGATTTATTGCAACCAGAATCCACAGACCACCTCACAGGGTCACTGGGAGTGAACTTCTGCTATGTAACTTCCTCTCACTCTGCTTCCTGTATCACTCATCACATTTAGTTGCAAGGCATGGTTGAATTTGAATAGTGGTCCCTGTGTGTTGTAGCCAACACTCCAACCTCACTACTGTGATGGACTACAATCTCATTGAGTTTACTCATTTGTATTGAGATTGTAGTCCATCACGGGAATGAGCCTGAAGTGGTGACTACTTTACAGCACACACAGGGACCATGGGGAACAAAAGTAGCCACTCTCCAGAAGGAATGACAGCGTCAGCACCAATTCAGAGATGATTTGAGGAGCTACAGTCGAGTGATACACAAATAAGATACATTGTTGTTCATAGATAAGGCACTTGAATGTATTTTTAAAATTTAACAGCGGAGTTTGTGTTACTTAAATTTTTACTGAAAAGTACTTTAACACGGTGACTTCAATTTTGGAATGAGAAGAGGTTGTATAATGACTGAGGTTTATAGCACAGGTTAGAGCCGCTTTAGCCTTCCAGGAAAGTCGGGTTCTGCCTTTAGCAGTCATTAGCACAGCTAGGAAGATCTTGTGTTTATGTTTTCTCAATTGAGTAATAAATTGGGAATAAAGAATGAGTCAGTCCATATAATGTGTCTTGGTAATGGGCGTGGCTACGGTGCCATTCACTTCAATATACCCATCTCTAATGAACGAAAAGCATAGAACATGGCTGTTATCTCTTGCAAGATCCATAATAAGGTGTTTGTAGGAAGTGTCAGCCACAACGTGACGGGGCCAGGTATTCAACTCAGCCGTAAGTGCCAAATACCTGCAGCAGCCGGGAAACAGCAAAGCGGTTGAGTTGAGTTGACATGACAGGAAGGCTGTTGAAAAGGTAAGAATACATGCCCTCCTTTTAGAATGTTGACCTTGTAAACCAGTGACCTTGTGGAGACAAGGCCACTTTAAATGTTCCTCTGCTGGATTGTTTTGGAGCTACTTTGTGCCACATTGCCTGGTATCTGAATGTAATCTTTAACAGTGACTGCTACCAGACTGGAAACCATCACTGCATCTTAGGGCACCCAGAGACAATAGATGACATCTTGGGTGATGGTCAAACACCTACTGGGCAGCCTCAAACAATTGTTTTTGGGGAGGGCGTGGCTACGGTGCCATTCACTTCAATGGCCCGTCACGCCCCCTCCTGCCCCACAAAAAAGTGAGCCGGCCACAATGCGAGGCAGTGCGTTCTGGCCAGAATTGGGCCGTTGCGCACTGCATCTGGTGTGAACGAGGCCTAAAGCTTTCGATGATTGCTATGGTACTTTGAGCACAGCAATTCTCTCATTATCACTCTCCTTAGCGAAGGTGCCTAAAGCTCTCTATATGTCTTTTAAATCTGACTCAGCACACAATGCATTACCCAGAATCCCTTGGGGGGCTGGAAAACATTATCCGACACTCAAGCTTTTATTCTCTGTGATTTGGAGTAATTAATTTACATGTGTTTATAGACTCATACATAGATTGAAGGTGTAGCAGATCAGCTGAGAATATGGCTGAAACCGCATTTATGGTAGACGTTTATGATAACCGTGTTCCGAGTACCTATTGCTGCCTTATATGATATTCATCTGTTTATCTGACTGTATGCTAGAGTTCAACTTTAAACTGGCCATAGAGGAGCAGATATATGTCTGAGATTATTGGGAAGGTGCTTGTTTTATGTCGCAGTGGACTAACTTAAAGGATTTAAAGTTGAACTCCAGGCAGATATGAAAGACACACATTAAGATATAATTAAATATAGCTTTTGAAATGCAATGCCTTGAAAGTACCTGACCTTAGCATCTTGTATAGCAGAACTCAGACTGGGGGAGGAAAAAGCAGCACCATACGATAACCTTTCCACCCAGCGTATACCTGGGCGAATGCCGTTCGAACAGCATTCTCATCACTAGATGGAGCCAAGGAGCATAAGAGATTCCAGTGCTCCTCGGCTCCATCTGGTGGGAATTACATTTGTATACAACAGCTCCTTTTTAAGTACAATTGTGGTAGGTTCTTGAACTTGACCTGGTATCAGCCACTTGCACCCCGTTTAAAAAAAAGAAAACAATACAAAAGGAACAGAATGGAAATCTGTTTATTTCAGCAATCTTTAAAGGTTACATTTTATTCATAAAACCATCAGCAAGAAGAACACAGGTTAAGTCATGAATAGCCGCGGCGACCACAGCCACCTCATCACCTGCTCCATTCAGCTTCGGTTATATCTGTTCTCTCATCTGTATTATACAATGTATACATGGCTACACTTACCATACAATTGTTATCTCCTTATAGGAACCGATACTTCATTGAGTGGCCCGGCCTGCTGGAGAGATGGCACGGGGGGATGCATATTATACAAAATATATTTCTGGGTGCACAAGGGTTAGAAGATTGTTACCTGGGTGCGGGGAGATTACAATTAAATTAGCACTAATACAGCTCAGTTCTTCAGCGCAGCATATCTTATGGTGATAAGACCTTTAAAGTTTACAGCCAAAATGATTTTGAATAGAGTTGGAAGGGTTAAAACTCCTGTCTATTGTTTTCAGTTTGTCTCCTGATGGAGAGATCTCCCTTCACTTCCGGATTATGCAACAGGAAGTGAGAGAAAATCTCTGCAAAGTGAACAAACTCCCCTCTTAGACAGTCAGCTTTGGAACATGTGTTGGCAAATGTCCTCTCACCTCTTGTTCCTGTGACAACTGTAAAATGTTGGAGTTTCCCTCACTTCCTGTCTCGGTGACTTGTCATCAAGACAACTAATGAGGGTGAAAAAAAAATCTGACAGGGGTTCTAATCCTCTCCTACTCCATCCGAAACTAAAATATGTTTTGATGACACATTCAATTAGGGGTTCATTTATAAAAGTTCCTTTACTCCGCAGTGCCATCTAAGGGCAGTAGTGCCTTATGAACGGAATAAATGCACCCCTTAAAGTTCCTAAAATGTTAAAAGATTTTAAAAAATTGATGCCGTTCCACAAATGCAAGACCCGGAATACCAATCATGTATCAAGATATTGCTTCCATACAATTTTAACTGAGGTGTCATACAACATGCATGTTGTTTGCGACTTTAAGCTGAACTTCAGGCATAAAAACTTTCAAATATATTCCTCAACAGCCAACAAGGATATATAAATCACAGATATTACTTTGTGAAAGCATTGACATCATCACTGTGCACATAGCCTGTGCAGAGAGCAGAGCTGTGGGAGGGACCCAGCAGGCCCCACCCACTACAGGCTGCCTGCAGAAAACTCCCTGAGGGGGCGGAGACTTGACCAGCCACTCTGCAGAAGGAAAGAGATCAGCAATGAGCGGTCTTTATTACAGGAGGGGGCGGAGACAAGACTAACCACCCTGCACAAAGAGAGAGAGAGCAGCAGTGACCGGTCTTTATTAGAAGAGGCGGCGGAGACCAGTCCAGCCACCCTGCACAAGGAAAGAGAGCAGCCATGAGCGGTCTTTATTACAGGAAGCTCCTGCACAGATCTGGAAGACATACACAAATATGAGGCAATCTCGGTGTGTGTGTGTAGGATATCACTGGCTTTGCATCTGTAAAATAGATCTCAAGCGCACAGGGGTTTAATGCAGATCATACATGCATTGTTTTCATTTTTTGTCTGGTTGATCACCTATTCCAATCTATTAAACCTTTCAGTGTAGATATAGACACTGCCTATGAATTTGATGTCAATCTGATCACTTGCAATGACAAATCAATAGAAGATTGTTAAGTGTCACCCTGAAAACATTGGTTTTGTTCTTAGATTGGAAATGACGCAAGCCGTGCCACTAAATGAAATGACAATGGGACAAACTATCCGTTCAGTGACGATTCACCTAAACCATCGGCTTTCCAACTCCAATCATTCACAACTTCAACTGGATGTAGTGAGATAGGTGATTAAAAAATACTTGGCATTTGCTACATGCAGTCATAAGATGGAAATGATTGGTTCATCGAATGTTTGGAATGATGTCCGTACGACCCACCAAATCCAGAAAAAACCTTGACCAACATAAACCTGCCATGAGTGAAACCTGCCGACCAACATGAACCTGCCATGAGTGAAACATAAAGGCTGCCATTGCTTAGTGGACCTGAACAAGAAGGCAGATCAATAAAGTCAGATCTTTATATATATACTTGTTTCATGCCAGTGCCTCTGAAAGCCATTGGACCAGTACCACAGCCAAGGAGAGGTCAACAGACCTAAGATAAGAGACTGTGGACATACTACAGAAGATGGTAAAAGTCTGCCAACATGATACAGAAGATGGTCAAAGGCTGTAGAGTTGCTACAGGGGTGGATGGAGACTGGGGACCTGCTTCAGGAGTTAGTCATGGACCGGGGACATGCTGCAGGAGATAGTAATAGACCCGGGGACATGCTGCAGAAGATAGTCGTACACCCGGGGACATGCTGCAGGAGATAGTCATAGACCTGGGGACATGCTGCAGGAGATAGTCGTAGACCCGGGGACATGCTGCAGGAGATAGTCGTAGACCAGGGGACATGCTGCAGGAGATAGTCATAGACCCGGGGACATGCTGCAGGAGATAGTCGTAGACTGGGGACATGCTGCGGGAGATAGTCGTAGACCGGGGACATGCTGCGTCAGATAGTCGTAGACCGGGGACATGCTGCAGGAGATAGTCGTAGACCAATGGACATGCTGCAAGAGATAGTCATAGACCCGGGGACATGCTGCAGGAGATAGTCATAGACCCGGGGACATGCTGCAGGAGATAGTCGTAGCCCCGGGACATGCGGCGGGAGC